TGGAACCACAAGCAGTTCTGTCTTAGCCAGGTTGAGTTGAAGGTGTCCGTCCGTCATCCAACAAGAAATGTCTGTTAGACATGCTGAGATGTGAGCAGCTATCGTCGGATCATCAGGATGGAATGAGAGGTAGAGTTGAGTGTCATCAGCATAGCAGTGATATGAAAAGCCATGTTTCTGAATGACCGAACCTAGTGATGCCATGTAGACAGAGAAGATAAGTGGGCCAAGAACTGAGTCCTGAGGCACCCCAGTAGCTAGATGTTGCGACTTTGACACCTCACCTCTCCATTAGACATTAGCACTTTTGCAACGTTTTACCAGGGTGACTCATATCTCTGTGGCTCGAACAGTAGAGCACAACTCTCACTCATGGGTTTGATTTGTATAGGCTTATTCACACTACACCAACAGATGCTGACCAGCGCTATAAGACATATTTGTTGGGTTTTGTCAGATCAGTGTCAGATCAGACCAATGCCTGCATCTGTTGTCGTGTTTAGTCTGTATTTGTTGGGTTGTGGAATTTCTGAGAAGTGACAGACTGTAATCTGGTGATTGTCTGCATTGGCCATCGTCTGTCAGTGCTTTGTGAAGTTATTTGTTGTTTGTTTGTTATAAAGTTATTTGCATTTCTATCTGTATTCAGATAAAACCAAATGTGGGCAGGGCTTAAACCAGAAGTTTAACTGTACTAAATGAAAAGCCCATTTTAAATGTCATTTTGTTGCCATTATAGTTTGCATATAGCAAATATACCTTGTATAATTCACAAAATTGCTTATTCTTGTTTTCTTCAAAATGTATGTAAATATATTTAATAACTAATTACAACAATAATTCAAATAGATTTTCATAACTGCCTGAATGTTTAATAAAAGGAAAAAGTTATTTAGTAGAAAATGTTTGTTTGTTTGACATATCAAAAAATAGAACTTTGTGTGTGTGTGTGTGTGTGTGTGTAATAAACAAACTTGTTTATCTTTTGTCAGAAAAAACAGGAAGAAGAAATCAACATCTCCAGAACCCAGCAGTGTGTCTATGAATAGTACAAGATCCATGTTTAATCACCCTACATTCAGTGATGGGACAGTGACCTCTGCCCCACAGTTAGTATAAATATTTAGTTCCTGCTTTACTGTAATTCACCTTGGTTAAATAATGGTTTAAGAAACCCAATGAACACTAAATGTTCTCCAAAATATACAACATACAGTATACAATCTACACTGATATGTTTCGTAAAATGTTCAACAGTCATTGTAATTACTGTTATTGCCATTTTTGCTGTTCTTTCTTTTAATTTCAGCATTGTGGAAATAGATGATACAATTGCATCCCACTTCCAGACACACATCAGGCAGGAAAGAACTGAAGCAGTCCTGCAGAGAGTCAAAGACCAGCACAAAACCAGCATGAAGAACAAGTATGGCTGCTTATTTGAGGGAAACAAACTACAAGAGAATGAAACCCTCTTGAACAGGATCTACACACAGCTCTACATAATAGAAGGAGAGAGAGAAGGGGTGAATGAAGAACATGAGGTTTTACAGATGGAGAAATCATCCAGAACACAACACTCACAACACAATCCAATAAACTGTAATGACATCTTCAAAGCCTTATCTAAACCAGGATATGAGGAGAAAGATAAAATCAAGACTGTTTTTACTAAAGGTATCGCTGGAATTGGAAAAACCGTCTCTGTGCAGAAGTTCATTCTGGACTGGGCCGAGGGAAAAGCCAATCCGGATGTAGATTTCATGTTTGTGTTTCCATTTCGAGAGCTGAACTTGATTCAAGATCATCAGTACAGTCTTCACAGACTTCTGCTGGACTTCCACCCTGAACTTCAAGATCTGGACTCAAAGATTTATGAGGAAAGTAAAGTTGTTTTCATCCTAGATGGTCTGGATGAAAGCAGAATAACACTGATGTTGTCAGACACTGAGAAAGTTTGTGATGTGAATGAGTCTTCATCAGTGGGTGTGTTGATGTCAAACCTCATCAGAGGAGATCTGTTTCCCTCTGCTCTCATCTGGATCACTTCCAGACCAGCAGCAGCCAATCAGATCCCATTCAATAACATTGACCGTGTGACAGAAATTCAGGGATTTGATGAGCCTCAGAAGGAGGAATATTTCAGAAAGAGAATCAGTAACGAGTTAAAATCCAGCAGAATCATCTCACACATCAGAAGAGCAAGAAGCCTCCACATCATGTGCCACATCCCCGTCTTCTGCTGGATCTCATCCACTGTGCTTCAAAACCTCCTGAAAGAAGATCTGAGTGCAGAAATCCCTCAAACTCTGACTGAAATGTACATCCACTTTCTGCTGATTCAGATCAACATGAGGAACCAGAAGTATGAAGAGAGAGATCCAGAGAAACTCCTGCAGTCCAACAGAGAAGTGATTGTGAAACTTGCTGAAGTGGCTTTCAAACAGCTGATGAAGGGCAATGTGATGTTCTATGAGGAGGACCTGATTGAGAGCGGCATAGACATCACTGATGCCTCAGTGTATTCTGGGATTTGCACTGAGATCTTTAAAGAGGAATCTGTGATTCATCAGAGGAAAGTCTACTGCTTTATTCATCTGAGCGTTCAAGAGTTTCTCGCTGCTTTCTATGTGTTTTACTGCTATTTAAGCAGCACCATGGAAGCCCTTAAGACTTTTGGTTCAATGCATCAAGATCTGGACTCAAAGATTTATGAGGAAAGTAAAGTTGTTTTCATCCTTGATGGTCTGGATGAAAGCAGAATAACACTGTTTTCAGACACTGAGAAAGTTTGCGATGTGAATGAGTCTTCATCAGAAGGTGTGTTGATGTCAAATTGTCCAGAGAGATTCAGGAGTTTGTGAAATCAGACAAACACACAGAGAAGAAACTCTCTCCATCTCACTGCTCAACAATCTCCTACATGCTTCAGATATCAGAGGAGCCGCTGGATGAGCTGGATCTCAAGAAATACAACACATCAGATGAGGGCAGAAGAAGACTTATACCAGCTGTGATCAACTGCAGAAAAGCTCTGTGAGTGTTTAATCATGTGCAACAATGAAGAGTCTCTTCTGAATGGAATTGTATTTTCTGTTGTTTTGCTTATTTTTTGGCATGTCCTGATCTGTTTTCCAATTAATTGTAGAATGGGGTTAAGAGTTTAATTCACATGTGTTCTGCTCTGTTTCAGTCTTGCTGGCTGTAATCTCACTGCTCAGCACTGTGAAATTGTGTCATCAGCTTTACAATCCTCGAACTCTGTCCTGAGAGAGCTGGACCTGAGTAACAATGACCTGCAGGATTCAGGAGTGAAGCTACTCTCTGATGGGATGAAGAGTTCAAACTGTCAGCTAGTGATACTGAGGTATTGTACAACATTAGACATTTATAATTTCTCAAGTTGTTGTCAAGGCTGCAGGTCCGTCCTTAAGATCAGTCATTGCCAAACACTTTCCCTCTTCCCCTCTTTCTGCCCAGTTAAATCTTTGAAATCAAGCTGACACAAGAGGTGAGGCCAGTATGAGGGGTTTGCCTTGATGTCTGACTCAATGAAAAATACCTCAGAAAGGCCTTGTCTTCAGATTACACTAATATAATAATAAGTGTACAAACTATTTTCTTTGGCATAACCAAAGTTCAGCACTCAGCGTTGTGTGTTTAATTCGCTATGTCAAGTTAAAAATAGTTATTTTAAAAGAGCCTGTTTCATTTTACTCCTCCTGGCTTACACTCACTTTAGAGTGAATGTTCTGTGTCTGTCTGTATGATGCATGATCATGACTGATCATTGTTTCATGATCTTTGGTGTCCCTTCAGAGTATTCATGAATATACAGTACCTTGATGTCATGAGAACGGCAGTAAGGACATGCATATTGATTTTAAACTGAGATCAGCAATGATTCATCAAGTGTTTGAGAGTTGAGGGCTTCACAGATGATGTAATCGTCACTGTTTTGTTTGGACCATGCAGAGCCTTTCAGGATCCAACCAGGACTTCGAAAATGTAGGTTCTTTCTCTGACACACTCTTGCACATTTAATGACAACAAACAAAGTATACAACTGTTTTTGTCTGTCTTCTTGTGTTCAGATTTCTGTGATCTCACATTGGATCCAAACACAGCAAACACTCAACTCATTCTGTCTGAGAACGGAGAGGTGAAATATGTGGATCAGCAGCAGCCGTATCCTGATCATCCAGAGAGATTTAAAGATATTCCTCACATATTGATTTTAAACTGAGATCAGCAATGATTCATCAAGTGTTTGAGAGTTGAGGGCTTCACAGATGATGTAATCGTCACTGTTTTGTGTGTCTGTAGGTTGTCTGGCTGTATGGTGACAGAGGAAGGCTGTCAGTATCTGTCTTCAGCTCTGAGTTCAAACCCCTCACACCTGAGAGAGCTGGATCTGAGCTACAGTCACCCAGGACAAGCAGGAGTCCAGCTGCTTTCTGACAAACTGGAGGATCCAAACTGCTCACTAAAGATACTCCAGTATGTCGGGTACAATTTAAGAAATCTTAATGTCTGCAGCACGAGACAAAACATTGCTTAGAAATCAAAATCATAATTTCTTCTCATCTCTGCATGCACTAATTAGATCTCTATGTTACCTCAAAAAATGTAGTTGTACCATAATCTTTAATGGTGTTTTTATATTTTTACATAGAAGCGTTTTACAGTGAAAGTACAACATGGACAGAGTTGCTCCGTTCCATAAATCTAAAATGGACAAAAATTGTTTGCTGAAAATAAAACTGTAAAAGGCAATGAATTAAAAAATGTAAAGAATTTAAAGACAGATGTGTGTGTGTGTGTGTGTGTGTGTGTGTGTATGTGTGTGTGCGTGCGTGTCATTTTAGTTTGGACCATGGAGAGCCTTTCAGGATCCAACCAGGACTTCGAAAATGTAGGTTCTTTCTCTGACACACTCTTGCACATTTAATGACAACAAACAAAAGTATACAGCTGTTTTTGTCTGTCTTCTTGTGTTCAGATTTCTGTGATCTCACACTGGATCCAAACACAGCAAACACTCAACTCATTCTGTCTGAGAACGGAGAGGTGAAATATGTGGATCAGCAGCAGCCGTATCCTGATCATCCAGAGAGATTTAAAGATATTCCTCAGGTTCTGTGTCGAGAGAGTCTGACTGGACGCCATTACTGGGAGGTTGAGCGGACTGGCTGGGCTCGTATAGCAGTGGCCTACAAAACAATCAGCAAAGAAGCGACTGTTGGTAAGTTTGGATACAATAACAAGTCCTGGTGTCTTTTCTGCACTATTGATGGATTTGTTGTCTGGCACAACAATGTGAGCAACAACATTCCTGCTCCTTCCCCCTCCTCTAAAAGAGTAGGAGTGTATCTGGACGTGTCGGCCGGCACTCTGTCCTTCTACAGCATCTCTGACACACACACACTCACACACTTACACACATTCAACGCCACATTCACTGAACCCCTCTATGCTGGGTTTAAGGTTTTTGATTCCTCACTGTCACTGTGTAAGATCACACAACAGACAAACAACTGACTTCTACTTCTGTCCTAATCACGGTCATATGACTGTTTATGAAAAGATTTGTTGTATGAGGTATATAATTTGAAATAGTAAATGCATGTTGTACTTTCAAATGTTGTTAAACACAAATGTGTAAAATTACTATGTATATTCAGTCCCACTTTATGTTAGATGACTTTAACTACTACTTATGTCAAAAAAGTACTTATTGTGTTGATGCTGTATTGCAAAACACTGTTGCTGCTACTGATGTGAGATACGGGTGAGGTTAAGGACAGGTTTTGTGGTATGGTTAAGTTTCAGGGTGGGTTAAGGCATAGGGAGAGGGTCAACAGTGTAATTATAGACGTAACTACAGAAATTTGTAACAGAAGTAATATTTATTATATATAATAGAGCATATTTAAGAGAGCAAACATTCATTTGTGTTGCACGTCATTCATGCTGTTTCTTTATCTTTTCCACATTACTTCCTACACGTATATAACATAGATGTACTGCAATCATTTCAATCATTTTTATGTTATTTTTCTGTTACTGTGTAATCCTAACTGTATGTTGAGTGCTGTGTTGCCTTCACAAGTAAATTAGAGATAAGAGAAAGAGAGAGTCTCCATTTCAAGGATTTATCACAGGATGATGTTGTGAAGCAGTAATTTTTGTTTTGGTATAATAACACTTGTTGAATTTGTGTAACTGAACATGGAAACTGATGTAACTAAGATTATTCAATAAACTCTAATCATTTTTACTATCACTTCATTTCCTGCTTTCTGAACGCACCTGCCTCTGTCTGCTTTTGGCCTGCCAGAAAGTAAAAAAAGAAAAAAAAAGATTAATTTTTGACTAATTTGATATGTGTGGTATTTTGAACTGCAGAGTCACTGAGATCCTCCTGTCTTCTCAGAACCGAATATGAGACAAAAGTGAATGAACCGGTTTCTCCAGATGTATGCTCTATTCCTAGTGTGTTCACTGTAAATCTGCAGTGTTTAATGTAAATATAAGAGCATTTTGTCCCTTTCTATCCACAGAGTCCAGTCTGACATAATACAGATCATCACTTTCATATACTGTCTAATTAATTAATAATGTAATTTAGATTCTGTTCCATTCAATTCATTTGATGAGCACTTTTCACAGTATATTGTTTCTTTACGGAGAACAGATCCTTCTCAGAAGCTCCTCTGGCAATTGAATTGACTACAAAATTGAATGACTACAAAAACAAATTCTTCTTCACGGAAAACTTCCACATATATAACAATGACACTGAAATATGACACAGCTGACTAAGTGGTTTCAAAAATGTTAATGATCATTAATTTGTCTTATATACTTAATTGCAGCATAAAACACTGTAAACAAATTAAGCTGTTTCACTCCCTAATTCTTAGGTAAGAATTTTGTGCTTCTTGCTAATTTTAACCACATATTTGTTATTAGTGTACATAGTGTGCTCTGATGTACTCTCTCCCTCTCCCTCTCTCTCTCTCTCTCTCTTTCTTTTCCTGTGTATTATTTGGATTAAATACACCTCTTAGTTCATGAGAAAGCAAAGTAAAAATGAGAAAAGTGAGTATAGTAGAAAAAGTAAAGCATTAAATTATTAATACGTATACTGTTGTTGTATTTGATGGGTATTTGTATTATTATTATTATTATTTTGTAAAGTTGCTTTGAAATTCTATGTATTGTCAAAAGCACCAAATGCAAAGTTGACTTAACTGATGATTCTCCTTTATCTGCTGCATATTTATTAATAATTTCACTGTATCCATCAGTGCAGCTCTAAGACTGAACAATAAACTACTTGATAAAACGTATTTATCTGAAACTCATTCATCGCTCTGTACTAACTGAATAGTGTGTAAACGGGATTGTTTTTGAATACTGTTTTAATTGGGCTGTGTTGGGATGTATAAAGTAAACAGTGGGCCCCAAAAATATATTTAAACCATTTTAGGAGTAATATTATTACATGCAGTGGTATCAGAGACTTCATTAAAGATTTGTGCCGATTAAATAAAAATCGACAAATTTTAACTCAGGAATTGAGGTTAAAGGCTACTAAGACTCACACAAAAACAACCGTTTCATAATTAAAATACAGGTGTCAAATATCATTACATATAGAACATAGAGACAATAAATCAGCAGGTTGCCTTGCAATGAAATGTAACAGGATCCAGAAAGGCTAATTATGTATCAGTGTACAATTAAATGAAGTGCTACAGATACTCTACTAGTCGAGCATTATTAAAACAGGCAGTTATTCTGCAATCACTATGTTAATTTACATTTTAGAGGTATGAAGCCCAAGTCAACTTTAGACAGACCTCACAAAAGACTGAGAATGTCTCCATCTAGAGGTGAATGTGCAGCATGACACAGAGACATTTCATTGCGAAGCGCTTCAATAAAATTTGGAGAATCATAACTCCCTGACAAGTGTTTTTCCAAGAGTGTGTCTATGTTCTCTTTGAAAAAGAAGTCCACGTAATCATACTTTTTAAAAGAGTACCTATACTTAAGTGTAATATACTTAAGTGTGAATGTATTGATTTTAGACACGTACTCTGACCTTTTATTTACAATAAAATGAAAATATATTATAGTTTAAATTTTATATTAAAGGCAATTGGCTGATCTTTAGAATGTTTCTGACCAACTATAGGACTTAAAGGGATAGTTCACCCAAAAATGAAAATTCTGTCATCATTTACTCACCCTCATGTCGTTCCAAACCTGTATGAGTTGCTTTCTTATGTTGAACACAAAAGAAGATATTTTGAAGATTGCTGGTAATCAAACAGTTGGTGGTTGCCATTGACTTCCATAGTATGTTTTTTTCCTACTATGGAAGTCAATGGCAACCACCAACTGTTTGATTACCAGCAATCTTCAAAATATCTTCATATCATCAACACCATATAAAATATTAAACTTGATATTTATAATAACATTTTATTTAAGGATTCGGCTGATGCGCCGGTGTGATCACTTGCATTTTTTCCCTGATAGCAGCGGAAAGATTTTAAAATGCTCTGTCATTTTTGGTCATACAGATTTTGGTCAAGACATCATTAGACAAAGTAACCTAAATGATCTTATTTGCGTACACTCACAATAGCAGCAAAGCACTGTGCTTTTGTAAAACAAAGAAAACACACAGGATGTGCCTTCTGCCTTCTGTCTCCGTGAACTTCATTTTGGAGTTGCCACAAAAATGAACCGAAACGCTTTAAAGAATTAGGACCAGTGGTCATGAATTAATTTAGCAATTTCTGTATTGCATTAGTTTTGAATATTTCTCATGGGCATTTAATAATTATTGACTGAAAACCTGCTTAATAATTATGCACACCTGAGTTTAAGGCATTTTTCACTTCCAGCCCTTGTTAACAATTTTATATCACTTATAAATGATTAAATACAAAATTAATAGTAGTTACTACGATTGATGTGGTTTGGAATTGGTAAAATGTGCTTGGAAAAAATTATGACCATATCAACTTGCATAATAATTATGTACGGACTGTATATTTTTCATAGTGTCTTCATTTACTCCACAATCAGGGTTGATTGCCCAACAGCCGCATCACATTTTTGGTGTAAATCACTAATTTCTGTTATTGGATGACTTACTTAGGCCTAATAAATGCGCAACACGCGAAACATTTAATCAACATATCAATCAAGAGGAGAATTTCAGGGCTAAGGAGGTAGCTCCATCAAGTTTTATCTCAACAAAATCTGACCAATAAGATCTAAAAGCTGCTGAATTTGCTGCTGTGGTGTTTTTTTTTTTTTAAGAATTGCAGCTTCTGACATGGTAGCCAGGAAACGTCTCAGGTTATGTATGTAACCATGGTTCCCTGAGCAGGGAACGAGACACTGCGTCCTCTAGGGGTCGCTATGGGGAACGCCTCGTCGTGACCCGTGTCTGAAGCATACATTGAAAAAACACCCAACAACACGTAGGCCGGCGACAGCCCAAGACGTCACTACCGGTGCGACTATAGTGTAAATAGGCCTTTACTTAAAAGGAGGGAACGAGTTAGTAAGTTGTGTGCACGATTTTTGTAAAAGGAGGGAACGAATTATATTATACACATTTTTTTTCCTGCATGTCATGTGTGGGGCTCCGTACATAAGCCACTTTAAGCGTAAAAATATCCACTTCGATTAAGGTGCGGTTGTCTTAGACGTAGGCTATAGTGTTTACGACAAGTGAAATGCAAGAAAAAAAAATATTTTCCCCGGTTGTTGTTTTAGAACATTAAGCCCGCTCCACTGCACTACCGTTGCGCTCATGTCTCGCGTCTTTTGCAGTGTCTCGAAGCACTGCCTTTTAGAATGTCCTGCGACGGGCCCCCCAAGAAACCGGGGCCCCCACGCACCGCGGGGGATGCGGGGGTGTCCCGTACGCCACTGAGTTTGATGAAGCTGAAGTGCCATAAATGCATTTACACTGCAAAATTTCAAATGCATAACTAATTTTATAAGATTCATGTTTTACATATTTTTTTAAACACAAATAAATGTTGAAAAAATGCAATGATACTTTTAAATATGACTAAACCACCAGTAGGTGGCGGCAAATGTCTGTTTTAATGAGTCATTTATTCATTCATTCAACCGATTCATTGAAATGGCTGATTCATTCAGAAACGAGATGTCTGTTTTAATGAGTCACGCATTTATTAATTCATTCATCTGATTCATTCAAACGGCTGATTCATTCAGAAACGAGGCAAGTGACTGTCCTTATGAATGGGCCACTGAATCATTGACTCACTCGATTCCTTCAAAAACGTGGATTCATTCAGTACCGAAAGACCGCTGTGTGTTGCTCGGAGACACACAACAGTCCTGCTGTGGCTTTGATCGGACCTATTTTCGTCAGCGAAATTGAGCAAAAACAGTCAATATTTTTGTCTAAAATCTAAGTCACTTAACTTCTTGTTTATTGAAATACTTAAACTGAGTGACTCTTCATGGGTTGGAGG